ATGGACCCGCTCTTCTCTATGATGTGAGTTGGGCAGCCCTGTGTGAGCCTTTCTGTTGCTGAGTCCCATGGGGGTTCTCTCACTCATGCAAGTTGCCTTTTCTCCCTTTGGTCACCATTATGACCTACCATTCCTGAAGTTCTTCAAACCTTCTCTTTCTTGCCATGCCTTCTTTTTGGTTTAGGGTTTTACTGGTAATGGGGAATAGGGAGTAATCAAAAACAGTTTCTAGAACTTTACAAAATTGACCAGTCTCAGTTCTTGATCTAGCCTATAGTTTCTGAGTCTCTCTAAGGTGATATATGGAAACCTGTCCTGGTTCTCTACTGCTGTGTAACAAACCACTCCAAAAGAAAACGAACTCCAAAAGATAGTGGCTTAAAATAATGACAACCTTTATTTTGAATATGACTCTGTAATCTGGGTAGGGCTTGGTGAGAGTAGCTCATCTCTATTCTAGTTGGCCGTAGATGGCGTGGCTCAAAAGCTGGGGGCTGCAATCATCTGGAGGCTTGCTCACTCACAGTTGATGTTTGCTGTTGACTAGGCCTACCTGGGCTGTTGGCCAGAACACCTTCATATGGCCTCTATATGCAGCTTGGGCTTCCTCACAACATGGCAACTGGGTTCCAAGGGTAAGCCTCCCACAAGAGAGTCAGGTGGAAGCTATATCACCTTTTCTGACCAAGCCTCTGCAGCATCACTTCCACTGCATTTTATTTGTCAGAAGCGAGTCACTAAGCGAGGGGAATTAAACTCTACCTTTAGATGGCAGAAGTGTCAAAGAATTCACGGACATGTTTAAAAACCACCATAAACTTAGTGAGCTGCTTTTCTCTGTCTTTATTCACTTGGTAGGTAGAAGGTGGGGCCTCACCTTTTTCTCTCCTTGAGATCCTTTTTTGGGCATTCAAGAGGAAGATTAGACCTGGAGATACTCAAAGGAGAACTGTCATTCAGGCTTTTGAATTAGACACACTTGGATTTGAATCTTGGCTCTGCCACTTACCAACTCTATGTTCTTGGGTAAGTCACTTAACCTTGGATAAGCCCATTTTAAGGAGCCCTATGGCCAGGACGTTGAATCAGTTCATTCTGGTTTGAACTCCTGCTGAGAATTTGCATTTCTAACAAGTTCCCTGCTGATAATTTGCATTTCCACCCCAGATACTGAATCAGAATCTACATTTTAACAAGATCCCCGGGTGATTCTTATATATCACTTCCTGGGAACTCTTTAGAAATGCAATTCCTGGGAACTCTTTAGAAATGCAAATTATCAGCAGGGAACTTGTTAGAAATGCAAATTATCAGCAGGGAACTTACTAGAAATGCAAATTCTCAGCCAGGGAACTTGTTAGAAATGCAAATTCTCAGCAGGGGTTCAAAGGGAACAAACTGGTTTGAAGCCCTGCTGGTGGCACACTGGTTAAACAGTTACAGCGCTCAGCTGCTAACCAAAAGGTTGGTGGTTTGAACCCATCCAGATGCTCTTTGGAACAAAACCTGGCGATCTGCTTCCGTAAAGATTACAGCCAGAAGGAACTATGGGAGTGTTTACTTTGTCACATGGATTGACTCACAGCACCCAACAACAAGCCTCATTTTATTCATCCATAAAATCACAGTACTCTTCTTTTGGGGTTACTGTAAGGATTACGTAAGTTAATAGCTGTGTTTACATGAGTTAATACACGCTTAAAGCAGTGGCTAGTACACAGTAAAAAAACAAAAAGCCAAACCCACTGCCGTCAAGTCGATTCTGACTCATAGCGACCCCATTGGGTTTCCAAGGCTGTAAATCTCTATGGAAGCAGACTGCCATGTCTTTCTCCCCTGGAGCCACTGGTGGTTTCAAACCACAGACCTTCTGATTAGTAGCCAAGTGCTTTAACCACTGCACCACCAGGGCTCCGTAGTACACAGCAACACTCCATAAATGTTAGCTATTGCTGATATGATTATTCAACTCATATTTATTAACATATAGTTAACTCAGTCTTAGGTGGGCTCTGTGCTAGATACTAGATACTGGGATTAAGAAAAGGAACATTAAGGGCATCATGCTTCCAGGAACCTAAATTAGAGGTAAATGTTATCTAGCATGTGGGTAGAGAGTACAGACTTTGGAGTCAACCAGACTTGATTCTTGTTCTGAGTTTGTCCCCTAGTTTCTAGCTGTGTGGCCTTCGATCAGTCTTTAACTTTCTAAGCCTTAGTTTCTTCAGTTGCAAATGAGAATTATAATAGCACCCACCTCACTAAGCTCTTGTAAGAAACAAATGAGATAATCTATGTAAAATGCTTAGCACAGATCCTGGAACATAGTAAGTACTTAATAAATGCTAATTATTAATTTTATTTATCAGGAAGTGGACTAATAAATGGATACATTATAGACCAAGGTTGTGAATGCTATACTTGAAGTGGAAGTAACCTGCTGAGCAAGTCCAACAGAAGAAGTGATTCACTTTGCCAGGAAGAATCTAGTAAAGACCAGACAAGGTGATGTTGGAATGGGGCTTTGAAGGATGAGTAAGTTTTTCAGGTAGGGAATGAGGTAAGGGAAGGTATTCCAGGTGGAGGGAAGAATATCCATAATGGCATGGAGTTGCAGAAGGTGCTGGCATGTTTGGAGGAAGGTGATAAATTCAGTGTGAGAGCTTAGGATGTGTGGGATAAAGGAGATGAGGTGGGAAGAGGGGATTTAGGCCGGATTTTGTAGGACATTGTGAGCCAAAACAAGAGAGGGGAAAGAAAGAACATTTACTGAGCTCCTACCAGTATCAACACTGAGTTAGATGCTCTCTCTCTACGTATATATACATGTATATGTGTATATATATTTATATAAAATCTAATTTGGATTTTATCCTATAGGTAATAGAGAACCATAGAGATTTCTAAGCAGGCTGTGACATGATTATTTATTTATTTATTTAATTTTTAAGGCAATGTCCCTGGCAGCCAGGGGAAGAACCGGCTGGAGTGAGAAGAGAATAGTCAGGAAGTCACAGGACTGGCCCAAGTGAAACTGCCATCGTTAACCAAGAGGGATTCAGTGAAGGTGCGCAGAAGGCCAATGGCTGGGCTGGGGAGAGGTTCTATAGGTCAGATGTAGGCTCAGGGATAGATTTTATGTGTGAATGAGGCAGGGAGGCAGTGAGGTAATGAACACCAGCTGGCGAGGAGTCAGGGGAGGAGGACAGGTTTGAATGGATGGAGCAAAGCTATGGGATTTGGGGTCCAAAAACCTCGCTCTGAACCCACCTGGGTTAGCTGTGAGTCCCTTTGTGGTCTTGAGAACTTCATCCTATCTTAACCTTAGTTTCTTATCAGTGAAACGGGCTAATATGACTTCTCCTATCTGTCACACACTGATTGTTGTGAGAAAGAAAAGAGGTAACAGGTGTGAAAGCGCTTTGTTAAGTAGTAGTAAATCACTAAATAAATATTAGACCCACTGTTATTAGGGAGGCAGTCAACTGCATGGGATAACACACCTAAGGGAGAGTTTAGGTGAGGTTGAAGATGGAGGGTATCTGTCCTAGGGTGGAGATAAGATAAACTGAGTGGTCAACACACACTATACACAGTGATTTCCACTACTGGGCTGGGTCTTCAGGAGGGCAATGGAAGACTCTCAATCCTATAAACAGTGACCCTATCAGTTGTCCTACAGATGCTCTCATCTCTCACTTGGGTATAAGGTGGTCCAAGAGGTCCAAATCTGGAGTCTTTGTATGGCGTTTCAGGTAGCTGGGGAACCATGTGAGTTTGCCAAGTAAAAGCTCCATGATGTGTTTTTCTGGGGCTAGAATCCATAGTTTCCATTAGACTCTCAGAGGGTTTGTGACCACCACCCCCACCCCAAAGGTTAACTGTCATTGATTTTCTCACCAGAAATTAATAAGAATATTTATCTTTGGAGGGGGGGGGGCTGGTGGGGAGGGTAAGGAAGAGATTTTCATTTTTCACCTTTCTGAACTGTTTGAATTTTCTAACCATGAATATGTATTAGTTTCATTTAAAAAAACTGCCACTACGGGTTATCTGGGTGATGAAAAAAATGGTCTCTTTTTTGGTTTGTGTCTACAAACGTAAACACTAATAGCTGTTATTTTAAAACCCTGTTAGTATCAGCAAAACAAACGCAAAAATCACTCCATTATGCAAAGTTTATCCTCTATTATGACTCCATTATGCAAAATCTACACTTCCTAAAATCTGCTGGCTTCAATTCAGTAAAACCTGCGTGAGAAGTAAACGGGTGAAGAAAAAAACAGACTATTTCAGGTATTTCAACTCAGGCATAAAAATGTCAAATACTGTGTATATGTGTCAACCTTCATAAATATTGGCGTATGAAACTTCAAGCAATGGAACGGAGGACAAGGTTAAATCCACAACCCTCTCCCCACGCACTCTAGTAATTACTCTATTTCCACGTCACGTTTCCGGGTGTGTGTCCCGACTCATGCAGAAATTAAAGTTCAAAGCAGGCAGGAGTCATCCATGTTCTTGCTGTTGTCCCCCAGAAACCCAACTCAGGCGTTGGGCCCCCTGAGGATCTGGCGATAACTGGGGACTGTCTAACTGGCTGAAACCCACGTGGTAAGAGGCTCCCAACCTCACCTCCACGTGGTGCCAAGGGCCGGGAACAGGGAGAGCGGGCAGGCGGGAGCCGCATCGGGGCATTTAAAGTGTCTTGACGTCACGCACTGCCAGTAACTCAGCTGAGTTTTCAGCAGGACATTCCAGTCATCTTTACTCCCTCCCCCCGAGCCTCTGTGCCATTGGCCTCCGCTCTTCCCCGGCTGTTGTGGAGGGAGGAGCACTACGCCCTCCGGAACAGCCAGCACAGGGGCGTCCCCAGTCTTTTTCTTGGCTCCGCCCCTTCCCCAGCGGCTCTTTTGATTGGTCAGTGTGTAGGGCTTCGTACGTGCAGTACACTCACCGGGGCCTCTGGATGGCCGAGAAAGCTGGCCATCTCATGAATTATGCATCAGTGGCGTGTCTGGGCCAGGCAGGCGCTGGGCGGGGATTGGCTGGAGGGGCTGTAATTCAGCCGTTTCCGGAGCTGCGGAGGCGTAGACCGGGAGGAGGAGCCTGGGGGTTCCAACGTCGCCCCTGAGGGAGCGAGCCCTAACCGGATCCTTGACGAGCACCCCAGCTTGGTGTTCCTTCTCCCTGTCTGCTGGGAGAGGCCCCGCGGCCTGAGGGAGCCCCGCGGCCCGCACCCCGGCCCAAGCGCAGCCTCAGCCTGTCGGGCCTCAGCCGGAGAAACAGGTGAAGGGGGTGAAGGGTGGGGCCGCCTCCTCAGACGCCCCCAGGCCTGGGGACTCCGGGGACGCGGGAGCGGGTGCAGGCTTTTAGGCGTGTTTGGGGGAAAAGCTGGAAACTTGAGGGCGGGGGGATATGAGGGAACACCTAGCGTCGCTCTGAAGGGACAAATCCCTGGGATGACAGGAGCGGGCCTCTGAAGGGAGAGGGGGCGCTGAAAGGAAGTTTAATTCCTTGGAGAAAGGAGGGAAGCGGAGGAAGAGTGAGCCTGAGCTCGAGGGGGAGGACTGTTGGATGGTGTGGCAGCGGTGAGGGACAGCCCCCCTACTTCCTGCTCCCTGGGACTCTGGGGACGTTCCGGCCACAGGAGCGACTGTCACACCGGCGGAGATCACTGGGGGCGGGGGTGTGGAAAGAGCCTTCTCCTCGCCCCGCTGACAGGGTCCGGCGGCTCCTGGCTCAGCCACTTCCACCTCCCTGCCCGGTTCACGCTCCCTTAGGTGCCAGCTGTGACCCTCTGGAGGTAGGATTAGGTGTCCTCCCCGAGAGCCTCACGGGCTGGTTGGTTGTGGGTAGGATTATTGCATAAGAATCTAGTTTCCTGTAGGGAAATTGACAGACTTGTACTCTTTGTAAATTCCCTCCCGTCTGATTCTAGCTTAAGCCGTGCTTTTTTCCCCTTTCTGAAACAAAATAAAACCCCAGTCAAGCCAGCACTGGAGAGGAATAAACCTCTCTCCTCCTTGGTATTATTCTTTTATAAACACCTGGTAAACACGGCCAGAAGATAAATAACTGAGCCACTGTGTTTAGTGGATTGTGGTGTTGCTTAATTGCATAGGACAGGATGAACCAATCGACAGTGGGAGTTTTCTGTCTCAGAGCCAAGATCTTGGGTAAATGCAGAGGAGAGGAAAGCGGAGAGGCTTGCCTTGGCAAAGCCATGCGTGCAAACTTTACCTGTGTTTGGGAGGTGTGGTTGTGCTTCAATTAGCAAAATTCAAACCGTCACCCAAGTTGCTTTTTCCATGTTTAATACACATCACTCTTAGTTATATCAAGTGGGTGTATGTGTGTTGACATAATCAGTGGTTAGTTACTTTTATTATTAAAAAAATATACTTTGTATCTACTGGTTTTCATTGCATGTGTATGTAAAGGGTGTACTTAGTCTATGCATAGATTGTAACTTTTTGCCTGGCTGTGCTAATAAAGCATTGGTTTGAATAAGTCAAAGCAGTAAATCATCTTGATCTTTATGTGTGTACTTAGACTTGATTTGATTCAGCCAATTTTCTATTTTTCTTTATATTAAGTATCTCTGAGTCAACACATTTATTTTTTCATTACGTATGTCAGACTGGAGTACTAGCAGAAGTTCTGCTCAGATGTTTGCACAGTAGGGTGGGAAAACGAAGTCTGAAATAAAAAAAATGCTGTAGATGTTGGGGGGGTTGACCTTAGTCTCTATATTTGTTAGCACACCCACCACAAAGAACCGTTAGCAAATTCATGAAAATGTGTGTGTGTGTGTGTATCTTTTGGGAAGGATAGCCATTTAGAAATACCCACAGTTATGACATGACCCACAAAGGGCTTGTGAGAATAGGTCATTCATATAAGATTAACCCATTTCGTAGATAAGGAAATTGAGGGCAAAGGGAAAAGATACTTGTCCAAGGCAGCAGAGTGCTGTAGTGGCAGAACTCATACTTTCTGTATATTTTGCGTTCTTTTGACTGTCAGTACTTAAGTATTAGGTCTTGATTTAGGGTGAGTGTTAAGCCCTGCTGGGAAAAGTGTCAGTGCAATTCTGACATATATCTGGATGGTGAAATACCTCCGACAGATGGTAAGACTCCAGGGAACACAAAGATTCAATAAACAGGTGAAAAAAGAAGTACAAGTAGGGCTTGCTTAGGTTAGTTTTCTATCTAATGGCTATGTCTAACTTGGAAAGTAACTGTTTTTAGTAGGGATAGTGTACCATCAGAACATAGGTATTTGGCTAATGGAAAGAAGTATTTACTTGGGAAAATTTGTTAAGTGAAGGGCAGTTGTGCCTTAGATGTCGTTTAAACCAGAGTGCTTGCTTTGTGGCTTGCACACTGATAGTTTGTGTCTCCAGAAGGGTGTTTTCTCCTCCCTGCCTCTGCGTGTCTTGACATTCAGATATGAGATGCGGGCAGATGGGGACCATCATTCCAGAAGCCTGAATCCAGCTCCTTTTGAGCTTATGGTTTCAGAGAGGTGGCATACAAATCAATAAACAAACATTTACTATCTGTAACTTTGTGAAAGTTGCTAGGAAGAACAAAATGTGTCTTATTCCCAGAATTTGTAATCTACTGGGGTGACTTGATTAGTACTTCAACCATCCAGTGCGACATGTTGTTGTCAAAGAGATGGTAAGGCATTAAGCCTGTGCTGTCCGCAAGGGTAGTCACTGTGTATAAAACAACATATGGTACAGATAGAGAACATTTCTGTTATTATAGAAAGTTCTATTAGACAGCGCTACACCAAGTGTTACAGTCTTCAGAAGAAGGAGAGCTTATAATGGCTGGAGTTGCCTAGGCAGTCTTCTTGGCAAAGGAGGGATTTGAACCAGGTCTGAAATAATGGGCGGAATTTGGGTAAGTGTAAAGAATTTGGGGTGAGGAGATATGGAGGTATAGTACAAATAAAATCCTAACAGATTAGGAAGGTCAGTAGGGGAGAAGAAGGGCCATTTACAAAAGGCCTTGAATGCAAGACCAAGGAATTTCAGTTCTATCTTTTTGTTGAGGGAGCCTTTAAAGGTATTAAATGTTAAAAATCTAGCCACCAGTTTGGCCTCGAAATGACCTCGGGCACTCCTCAGGGCTGTTTTTCCAAGCAATACCAAGTTTATGCTAAGTGTCTTGGATAAAATAAAGCCTGTCATAAGAAATAAAATACTCAAACTTTAAAAACACTAATTGAAACTCAAGAGGCCTGGTTTATATCAGTTTAACAATTGGGGCCCTCAGTTAAACTCAACAGTTAGGCGCTTGGCTGCTAACCTAAAGGTTGGTGATTTGAACCCACCCAGCGGCTCCGCAGGAGAAGGACCTGGCGACCTGCTTCCATAAAAATTGCAGTCAAGAAAACCCTATGGGGCAGTTCTGCTCTGTCACATGAAGTCACTGAGTTGGAATCGACTTGACAGCACACAAGAACTTCGTCAGTTAATCAAAGTCAAACTTCAACCAGAGAAAATAAGTCCTCAAAATACCCAATGGATTACCTCTCCTCAATTTTATAATACCTCCCCCCAAATTATGGATTTCTCACTAAACCGATTACTTAATCCTTTGATTACTTAACCAATCACTTAAACTTTCTTTGTTATTCACTGCCTGTAAAACATCTTCTCCCTTTTCAGAGGGAGAGCTTTGCACCAAATTTAGGCCAAAGGCTCTCTGCTAGCAGTTTAGCTACCTAATAAGCGTTTGTTTAAAGAACTCTGTCTTTTGTTATTTGAATGCAACAAAGGTTTTTGAATTCAAATAAAAGATAGAGTCTGGATGGCGTTTTGGTGGTAAATTGTTTGAAATGACTCTCGTCTTTAGAAGAAATAGCATATAAGAGAATGAATTTTTATTATGGTCAGTTATCATTTGTTATGTTAGGCTTACAATTTTTAATTCAGATTAGCAAACGTTATCTATTGAGAACTGATTACTGTGCTAGCTGGGACCCAACGATGTACAAAATATGGTGTTTTTCCCAGAGTGGAGGTGTGGTTGGGAGGACGAGGAAGTGCATTTCCTCAGTATGGACCTGGGACAGGAGGAGTGGCAGGGTTGTGAGCGGTTCAGTACTTAGGCTCTGGAGTCAAACAGATCTAGGATTGAATCCTGGATCTGCCGCTTCCTAGTCAGAATCTGAACCTCAGTTTTCTTATCTGTAAAATGAGGATGATAAACAGGACTGGTTGAGGATTAAATGAGATAATGCTGATAAAATGCTTAACATACTACCTGACACATAGTAAGAGCTCTGTAAATCTAAGTTTTTTATTAAATGTTCATGAGAGTCTCTACAGCAGTGAAGAGAAAACGCTTTGTCACAGAGGGGAACATCTGAACAGGGTTTTGTAGGATGGATAGGAATTCATCCAACAGAGTTGAGTAGTAAACAGTTGCACTCAAGGCCGAGGGAACATGAGTGTTCAGAGGCTTAAAACAGCATAGTGCGTTTAGAGAGTTATAAGTGGAAGTTCTTAATTTAGGAGAACGAAACAGAAAGGGAAAGGAGGCTGCTGAACCACAGTCCTTATTCCTTCTCTTTTGTTAATTAGATTCAGATGTCATTAAGATAAGTTGTTTTGTTCTATTTACAAAAATAATGCATGGTTATATGTTTGTAGAAACACAAACTATTTATATTTTATATGTGTTGTTAGGAGCTGTCGAGTCAATTGTGTACTCATAGTGACCCCATGTGACAGAGTAGAATTGCCCTTATAGGGTTTTCTAGGCTGTAATCTTTATGGGAGCTGATGGCCAGATCTTTCCCCTGTGGAGCAGCTAGGTGGGTTAGAACCTCCAACTTTTTGCTTAGCAGCTGAGCACTTAACCTTTGTGCCACCAAAAAAAAAAAAAAAAACCCGTTGCTGTTGAGTCAATTCCAACTCATAGTGAACTTACACAACAGAGTACAACTGCTCCATAGGGTTTCCAAGGAGTGGCTGGTGGATTCAAACTGCCGACCTTTTTGGTTAGCAGCCGAGCTCTTAACCACTGTGCCACCAAGGGTCCGTTGTACCACACCTTATATTTTATATATGTCAAGTTAATAGTTTAGTATATATTCTTCCAGATTTTTTGCAGCTTTTTCTACTTAACAATTTATCTTGGATAGATTTATTGCAAATTCCTTTTTGATAGCCTAATAAAAACATTAGGAAGGCAAATCTACCCCCCAAATAGAAATAGTGTTTGGATTGTCTGGCTTTCCTTTTTGCCACCCCACTCCTAAGA